AATTCTCCTGCCTCAGCCTCCCAAGTAGTTGGGATTACAGGCATGCACCACCATGCCCGGCTAAATTTTAGCAGAGACAGGGTTTCTCCATGTTGGTCAGGCTGGTCTCAAACTCCCAACCTCAGGTGATCTGCCCACCTTGGCCTCCCAAAGTGCTGGGATTACAGGCATGAGCTACCATACCCAGCCTCTGCTTTTCAGAGAAGTAGGAAAACCAACCAGAAGCAGTCAGAGACACTACAGAAAACAAACACAAAAACTCTAAGCAGAGCTGCCTAGAACTGCATAGTACAAACGGCTGGCAAGAATGAAGGCCCGTGAGTCGTCAAGAAAAATTCAACAGTCTCTGTTTTCAAGGGACAAAAACATGTTTTATATTCTAGAAAATGGTCTACATGATATGTTTTCTTTTTTAAAATTGGTTACTCCAAATTCTGCTCTCTAGAAATTTCATTATGTGAAAAAACTAAATCATTTCAGATACCATTTAAAAGAGGTATTATTGTACCTAGATTTTTGAAGCTAAACCTCTCATTACAATCAAGAAACACAAACTTCTTCCTTTCTTCTTTTTTTTTATGATACAATTTGCAGAAGACAACCATGAACACCCAAGGAGTGGAACTAACCCAGTTCACTCATTCAGACAGCTGACATCACCTCAAATCAGGGGCCTCTGTCTGCCGGGGTTTATTTTACCGCCAACGAGAGTGAGTAAACTGGGGCAAATGGCCTTGGGAAACAATGAGATTTGTGACTATTTCTGTGAAATAACAGAATTTTGGACCCAGATATCACGGAATAGCTACGCTGGTTCCAGTGGGCTGGGAGTGGGACATGAGCCTCTCTTACCTCGATTATGTTGCAAGAGCACAATAGTAGGATTGACAATCGTTGTGGAGGGATAGGCGGACAAAGGCTTGCTAACCGGTGGAAAGGCTTGTGAATCAGTTCCAACAAGGGAAGAAGAAACTTCATTTAGTAGAGGACTGGAATCCTGAAACAAACCAACAAACAAACAATGTAACTAACTGTAAATATAAAAAACTACCTTAATTATTTTTTAAAAAGAAGAAATGTAAAGTTTTACAATCATCTTAATTATAAAAAGAAATGCAATCCATGAGACACGTCATATGATTAATTCCAGTTAGACGTTTAAGCTGGAATGGTTATTCTCTTTGCTGGTATTAGTACAGGGCAGAGGAGAGAGGGAAGGTGAATGTTACTGCAAGTCTCAGCAACATCATTCATTATGTCCACCTGTTAACAGTTGTGGGTCAATCTGGTTACTGAAAAACCAAATTCAGATCAAAGTAGAATAACATGCAAACCCATGCAATTCCAAATGGGATCCAAGAAGGAGAGCTGGTTTAATTGGGAAAAATCAGGGAAGTTTAGTACACTGTACAGAGAAATGTAAGACAATGTGAGGACAAGAAGACATTAATGTAAGAACAGGAAGGAGTTGAGCAACAGTTTTTTTCAGAAAGCTACTCTTAGCATCAGCTTCACTGAGCAATTTTCCTGAGGCTTGCTTCTGAGATTTGGATATTATCCTATCCTATTGTGACATTTTTTCACTCTAATATTAAAGTGACAAGATCCCTAAAGACTTGTGAGAATCCTGACCTTAAAAACTGAAGTATTTGCCAGAAATACCAATAAAATCACTAATATTAACATTATAATCTGCATATTGGGGATAATGCCAGTCTTTTAAAACAAAGTAACACCCCAAAAGGTGGTAAGGATATTTAGATAGTTTCCTCCATGATATCTATACATTTCCATTTTTGAGTTTATAAACACTAGACTGAGGATGCTCTTCCTAAAAAGCTTTAAGAACAAGATTTTGATAGTTGCTCTTGAAGCAATAATTATCTTGAAGCAATAATCAGAGATCAAGTCCTGTGAAAACACCCACAGGATGAGGGCCACCCCCTCACTCATACCTAGCCCAACACCCTGCAGATAGCAGGTGCTCAGTAAATGCCACGTGAATGACAGGCAGCATCTTCCAGCAGTGGTGTGTTTGATCAAATGTTTGTAGCAAGAAAACAAGTAGCTTATCAAAAAAGGACGTGGGCATCAGCACCCAGGACAGCTCCCAACACACAGTAGGAGTGTCACAGCACTGCCTAGGGCAGTGTATCTCTTCTGAAAGTCCCCTAAACAGCTGCCACTATTTAGTTATGAGGGGCAACTCAATTTCATGAATAGAACCTTTTCTCAAGACTTGAGAAGCACAGTATGATTTTAAACAAAAGTGCCTCACCTCAATTCCTCTATTTAGAAAGTGGAAAGTAATTACACTTTTCCTAATTTATCTCCAAAGTGATATAATGATGATAAATGACATATCATTAAAAACTCCCTGAATGCATCCAAGAAACAAAAAATATCAGGCATACAGCTCTTTAAAGTATAAATGTCTAATGTGATGTTTGGGTGGATCATATGAACATTAAGCATTTTACAAATTTTACTTTGTGTCTTATTTCTGGAACATCACAAAAACAGCTATTGACTAAAAGAGCTCAAACCAATTAATACAACTTTCATTCTTCCTTCTTTCTCTCAAATAGCTACAGATGGAGCAGGTGTCAGCTCACAACTCAGATACCATTCACAGAGCAGGAGGAGGAATCCAAGTAGTTTCCTTTTTCACCTCTGCTACCCAGGGCCAAACCAGAAACTATCAGGCCAACAGAGGTCCTTCTGGGAGGTCTACACCAGGCTGATTAGTCAGGTTTGAGCAATCGAGGACACTGTCCCAACTAATCTGTCCTGGTACACCTAAAACAAACTTGATATGAATCTAGGTCTACACAAATGATAAATTATAGGGTGCACAATAAAACTGCTCAAAATGGTCTGGAGGACACTCACTTTACCCACTGCTCCAGGCAAACATAATCTGTGTCAAAAGGAAGATGCCTCAACTCCCCAAAAAAAGAATGGCTTCTAAATTCTAAGTTCAGCTGAAGGTAGAGAGGAATAGATCAGGGAATAATCTATCATTTTTCTCCAATGGAGCTGAGCTGCAAAACTCAAAGCTGGAAGATATTGAAGCCCATAGGCCATGCTGGGCCTGGTCCTGACCTAACTACATTGCACAGCTCTAGAGATTTCAGAAGAGGGCCCAGCTCAGGACATAACAATTCCCAGCTTTGATGTGCTTGATGCCTCATTATAAGTTATCTAATAATCCAAATAAAAAGCTTCCTTCCTGCTTTCTGCATGACTGGCTTTGACTTAATAAGCCATTCAGAACAGTTTTGCAGGCATACCTCTTTACACAAAGCTATGTCAGTAAAGGTTTAGTTCCATCAGCCAATTGCATGACCCACTAGATGACTGTATCTCAAAATGTAGTATGTGGACCCCAGCATCTGAAACCCCTGAGCACTTCTTACCAAGTGAGATTCCCAGGTTTTTCTTCAGACCCCTCAATCAGAAATTCTAGGAGTATAACCTGGGGGAGACCATTTAAACAAGTCTCCCTGACCCTCAGATGAGCCCAAGTACACAAAGCTTGAGAAGTGACTTCCTACCCCAAAAAACCCTTTGAGAACAAGGCCCTGACTCATGGTTGTACCCATGGTACTGAGCAGAATGCCTAGACCGTGGCAGAAACTCAATGATGAATTGCTGACTAACCAGTTACTTGCTTTTGAGTGACTGGCCCTCATTTGCCAGGGCAAGTCCTCAGCGACATGGCTAACATTCACTAGCCCCTCCTCTATGTCAACCCCTGTAACAGGAACTTTTACTACTTGATCCCACCGAACCCCACAGCCCTGTGAGGAGATTCACGTATCCCTATGTTACAACTTGCACTGACGTTTTCAATTGAGAATCTTCTCTCAATTCCCAGGGCTCCTAAAGAAAAAGGAGACCCACTTTGACAGCTTTTTCTCTAAAGCACTTGGGCTTTCACTCCCCCACCCCCCGAGGATGGGACTGGAGGCATTGGGCCCTTTGACTTCCCATGACCACTGGTGACCCATTTTGCCATGAAGTCTCCTGGTACCTCCTTCTCAGGGGCTCTAGCAACTGCCTGCCTTTTGAGGTAAAAGTCCTAACATTTGTACAGGGCTTTCAGACCCACTTGCTCACTTAAACTCAACTCTCTCATTAAAAAAAAAAACAATCCTGTATCTGTCATTTCTGTATACTACAGAGGGTAGTATTTACTCAGCAAGAGAGTGAGTCTTTTCCTCCGCACATCTCCCCACTTCCTGGCAACTAGCACCCACCACACCTGCCGTTGCTTTTCCCATAATTCTTCAGCTTGCCTCGGCTCTCCACATGACCACCCGCCTGGCCTGTGAAGAGCATGGCCAGTCAACGTCAAGGCCACAGGTAATGTCTTCTGAGGGAGAAAGACGTGTATTCCCAACAGGACAGAGCAGATGAGGCACTGCAGAGATGGGAAACGGCCCCGAGAGACCCAGGGAAGACACTCAGGAAGCATGCACGTGAGTGACAGGGGACACGGCTCCAGTCATCACGCAGGCACAGCGGCAGTCAGTGCTTTCCTCAGAACTCAGTGCTTCAGTGAGAGAGGGGATGTGACTGCTGGGAGGAGACATTTAGGAAGCCATGGGGAAGGGAGTCCAACAAGCTTACGGTACTCGAAACAGCTCCCGTGAGGTCAGGCTCCGAGACTCTGCGGAGGTCCTCCGGGGTGGGAGGGACCAGCGGAGGTGGTGGTGAGAAGGATGGTGGCGTCTGGCTAATGGGGGCAAAGGAGCCAGAGGTGCGGGCTGGCTGGCTGTGGTGGGGCCACCTCTGCAGATGAGGGGGAATGAAATCATCTAGAGTCGGGAAGGTCAGAGGTGAGGCTGCAGAGGCGGTCGCTGGGATTGTGGGGACGTGGCCAAGAGGCCCCAGAGGTGCTGGCGATCTGGCCGTGCCTTCTTGCCCTCTGTCAGTGTTAACCAGGTAGAGAGGGACAACTATTACCTCCGGCTGGGCTGCACTGGAGGAAGTGGCATCCTGTGGAAATAAGGGGGTCGTTATGGAAAAGGGAAGGACATGAGGAAGGAATTCCAGATTTAAACAGTTGAGAGTGGGCATGCAGTGAGGTACTCTGAGAAACATTTAATCAGTGCCCTTTCCTCAGGGTACATGAGACGGTCAGAGCTGGCCAGCTGGCCTTCTGACACTCCATGACACAGAGGGAACCCCATCCAACTCCGCTTTTCATCCATCTATTTTTGAATCCTTTCAACACTTTATGAGAGAGGAGGGGAGAACAACAGAACAGGCCGGCAGGCGGTGTTTAACCCCACAACCCTGCCATAGAGCCTAAAAGCTTGCGAGTAAATACAATTTCTTTGGCACCTTGTAAAAAAACATGAACAATGCATATCTCACCATGTTATTAGTCTCCAGATTCCACGCTCCAGCATACTTACACATTTACAGAAAAGAGAGACAGACAAAGAGAGTACTGTGCTGAGATGTGCAGACAGAAGAATTTGGGATTCAAGCCACAACAATATTAATGAGGAAAGGGAGGGTAGGGCAGCCCAGTGAACAATGAGCTGCTCTCATCAGTTTTGAAAGAGACAGTGGAGAAGACACACAAACATTCCTCATTTCTTGCCTTGGCTGGATAACTCGGCTGCAAAAGGTAAGATTCTTTGCTCTTCTGTTTTTCGGGATCAGAGGTAACCTGGGGGCCTAGTACAGGTGGTCTCACATCTGGGAACGAAGCCCGCGTTCCCAGGGAAGGACTCTCGACACGGTTAACGGCATCTTTACGGATGTCAAAGAATAGCTTGGGAGGGTCAGGAGGAGGAGCAGTGGGTGGTTTTCCTGTGCCGGCTGTGCGGGAGACAGGGCTGGGAGCCGGTGCTCGGGTGCCTGCAGCCTCCGAGGGAGTGCCTTTGGCAGGGTCACGTGCAACACAAGAGGAGTTTTTGGACGCCGCCAGGCAAATGTTATTGGATAAACAAGGTATATATAAGCTGCTGACCTTTTTATTCCCAACTGCCTCATGACATGGGTTAGAGCTCACATTCTTATGATAAACTCTCCCGGTGGCTGCACAGTGCTGCTGGGGTTGGGATGAAGCACTGGGGAACGTGGAGTCCGAAAGCAAGGAACCAGAGCACACCACACCTTTGGGAGCCGATCCAGCTGCCAGGAGGACAGAGATGGGCTGGGGGTGTGCGGGGTTCTGCTGGCTGGGGGTGCCGAGTGGGACATAAGGCTTTGGTGAGCTCATGTAGAGAGAATCCTTGTAAGTATTGTGGATGGTGGGGGACTGCCATGCAAAGCGGTCCTTTTTAGGAAGAGGAGGGTGTGGGGGAGAGAGAACCTTTAGCAATATTTTCAAGATATGTTATCAAACAGGGAAAAAAGAAAGAGGAGGGGAAATGGAAAGAAGGACGATCATTAGAAACAACAGCATTACATGATCTGAAGCAAAAACCATTCTTAACATGTTTTTCGGCAAATCCTTGGGTTAGACTCCTCAGTAACCACAATTCTCTCTGAGTGAAGCCAAAGACTGGGTCCCACTCACCTGGAGAGGCAGGCTTGACTCTCCTTTGTATTCAGGGAGGCTGAGCCCAGCCCATAGCAGGCCACATTCGTCATTAATTTTGATACCAATCCTTGGCTGACTGCATCTTTATTAGATGCCCCGACCCAAGAAGGGCACCAAGTGAACTAAGCACCAGTGGGAGAAGCCCCAAAGCCCCCAACTCCCTCTTAAACCTCCTTCACTCAAGATTTATCTTCAAGCCTTTGGCTTTAAAAGTTTACATTCACTGAAACTCTTTTGAGTGCCTTTCATTCTTTTCCCTTAGGAAAAGAAGAATTGGAAAAACAGTACTTATTTGTGTTCACAGGAGACAGATGTCTTGAGTCACTGAGATTTAGCACTCAATTCCACAAGCATAACAAATTAAAGCACCCTAAGAAGAGAATGCTAAGGATGTTTGAATACACATGTGTTCTTTTCTCAAAGGAAATAATTTGATGAAACCAATTATTAGAAAGAAGACAAGCATAAGATTAAAAGCACACAGCCTTCCATTTGTGATGCACACAAAAAAGGGGACCAGGCAATGAAAGAGTTAATTGGCCTACCGGATTGGACTGCGCCTAGTTTATCAAAATCCAGCCCCATCCCCATGTCACCCAGCCCACTACCGCACAAAGGGGATCAGTCCTGGAGGTAAATGATGAGCCTCAGACTAACAGCCTAAGCCCAAAGCTCTGGCTACAAGTCCACAGGTACACACAGCATTCCCTCGCTTGTCAACACTGCTCCTCCTTGGATCTCAGTGGAACAGAGGGTCGGGAAATGGGGTGACCTTCCAGTCAGATTCTCACAACAATGAGAGTCATCTGCCAACCTGCAGCTCAACTGAGAATTAGACTATGAGATAAGGAAACTTCATTTTGCTAGATTTTCTTGCGTGGCTCCTATTCTTAAAGATATCCCAGTTCTAGAAGAAAACCAGAACTTTCCTCCAAATTGCACAAGTGAAGTATATTAGGGCTTGGTCAACATCAAGTGAATTTTGACCAAAAATGGGGAGGGTGCGAGAATGTGGGTCTATTTGGAATTTATTTATTAATTTATTGTTATTTATTTATTCATTTTGAGACAGAGTCTTGCTCTGTCACCCAGGCTGGAGTGCAGTGGCGCGATCTCGGCTCACTGCAACCTCCACCTCCCTGGTTCAAGTGATTCTCCTGCCTCAGCCTCCCAAATAGCTAGGACTACAGGCATATGCCATCACATCCAGCTAATTTTTTTTTATTTTTAGTAGAGATGGGGTTTCACCGTATTGGCCAGGCTGGTCTCAAACTCCTGACCTTGTGATCCACCCTCCTCAGCCTCCTAAAGTGCTGGGATTACAGGCATGAGCCAATGCACCTAGCTAGTTTTATTTTATTCTTATATTTGCGGCACACAGGTGACAAGAAGAAAGAATGTTAGAAACAGTGAATAGTAAAAAATATTTTAAAGTTTTATGGGTTGGGCACTGTGGCTTAAGTCTGTAATCCCAGCACTTTGGAAGACCAAGGCAGAAGGATTGCTTGAGCTCAGGAGTCTGAGACGAGCCTGGGCAATATAGCAAAACTCTGTCTCTACAAAAAAATTTAAAAAGAAATAGCCAGGCATGGTAGTACACACCTGCAGCCCCAGCTACTAAGGAGGCTGATATGGGAGAATTGCTTGAGCCCAGAGGTCAAGGCTGCTGTGAGCTGTGATGGCACTCTGCACTCTAGCCTAGGTGACAGAACAAGACTCTGTCTCCAAAAAAAAAAAAAGTTTTATGAGTCCGGATTAGAACATCAACCCCAGAAACAGTAAATAACCTATTCCTTAAACTCAGTTCTCAAGGTACAAATAAGCTCATTGGAGAAGCAGCTCATTTTGATATCATTGGTTAATTCAATGCCTAGCCTTTCACAGGGCACCCATGACAGTGCCAGGGGATATATGCCAGACAAAAAAACTAAAATGAACAGCCCCTCTCTAGTAGTCAGCAACAGCAAAACTTTCAGGTGAACTCATCTGGTTTCAGTGAGCATGTTTACAGACTAAAGGATTCTAGAAACAAATCACTTGGGCTAGCACACACCAAAGGGACTGCTGGGCACGCTGATAATGGCTACAGAGAGGTAAGCAAAAGACCATTTTGATTTGAGCTCAGATTTACTTTTACTGTCAGCTCAAATGTCCCATATGTGATTTCTTCTTGTCCAAAGATAGAAATCAGCTTCAGTGAGTTTCTAACTTATTTCAGCTATTGCCATATATGGTACCAGGGATGCATTACATCAGCCATGAGCCTTCCCAGGGCTTTGACCCTGTAGAGAGCACACTTCCCCAGAGGATCAACAGTGCACTCAGATCCAAAGGTCTCCTGACTTGGGGCTTCTTTCAGTCCTAAAGCATTGTTTTATATTGTAAACACAATACAACACACAGGCAGGAACCACATAGGCAGTTTGCATTCTGTCCAGTTGACTACAAATGAAATTCTATGTATCTTTTTAGAAGGTGGATCAGTGAAAATATGAGGCTTGTGGAATAAGCTGGTACATTAATAGTTTATACATTTCTATCAACTACTAATTCCCTTGTATAAGCCGGTGCATACTTACAGCTCTGGCAATGACTATACAGACAAGAAGTCATGTTTCCAATGTGTGACCTAAAGGTTCCTGAAATTTGGATGGCTGATTTTACACTGAATATGCAGGATAAAACCTCTTTATCAGCAATTTACCAGGTTCTCTTAAAGGGAACCCCAGTAAAAAGAAAATTATTGGATAGTAACAGATAAGAAAACACACATTGTAAAAGATATTATAGGGTGTCCACCCTTATACATTGAGGGCAGTGTTTCACACAGTGATCTGACACGACAGAGACGCACAATAAAGCTGTGCTAAATAAATGTATTTTAAAAGAAGTTGTATTTACTTCACATGCTTTTAAAATTATCTTTTCAAAAAAGCTGTTTCAGAAGCCAAAAAGAATTACTGAGTTACCCTTTGAACTAAGTCATTGATAGTGGAAGAGGACATGCTTCTACATTTGGTCTGAATTAATCAGCACCGTTTCTTAATCTGAATAGAGCTGATGGCACCCATGAGACAGCTGAAAAGGAAGTGTGTCAGTCACAGGCAGCACATTTATACACTGTGAAAGGGTTTAGGAATGGGAAAACCGTGGCAAGTCATTTACTGGACTAGTGACCTCCCCAGTCTCTGTGTCTAATGAGGACTTCAGAAAGCCAGGCTCCTTCACAGCTCCTGGTTCTAACCAGTGACCCTGGATGCATATGGTCATACCTAGGGAGGAAAGTCATGGCAGGTGGCAGAAAGGCTAAATGTGCTTGTTGCTAAATGTGTTTGTCGCCCAAGGCAGACAATTAAGCAACCAATTCCATACTGGGGAAGACAGGCATCTGGAGAGAGAGAGAAAATCATCTCTGATTCAGCTTCATTTCAGCAGCAAGTGCAACTTTACATCCTCAGAAGCAGGAACCGGAGGATCATTGGAGAAGTGGGGTGGAAACTAAGAAGAACCTGCAGAATTTCCAGACTTCTTGTGAGTTCTGTGAACACCTTCACAGAAGGAAGGCACAGGGAAATAAACCACACAAGGAACACATTTCTGCAATTGTTTTTGAGCAGCACAGCTTCCTTTAAGAGAAAGGACTAGGCTAGATGTGGTATCCCACACCTATAATCCCAACACTTTAGGAAGCCAAGGTGGGAGAATCGTTTGAGGCCAACTATTGGAGGCCTCAGTGAGCTATGAGGACACCATTGAACACTGGCCTGAGCAACAGATAGAGACCCTGTCTCAAAAAGAGAGGCAGAAAGAGAAAGAAAGAGAGAGAGAGAAAGGGAGGGAGGGAGGGAGAAGGGGAGGGGAGGAGAGGGGAGGGGAGGGGAGGGGAGGGGAGGGGAGGGGAGGGGAGGGGAGGGGAGGGGAGGGGAGGGGAGGGGAGAGAAAGGAGTAGTAGTCTGTTCTACAAATGTGGCTCCTGTATGTAAAAACGTTCATCACAGATCACCTAAATTAAAACATGGTCTATTCCCTTCATCAAAATGACAAAGTCACAACAGGAGAGGGAAGGAAGAAAGATCAGGAAAGCCACCTAAGGGGGAAAGACTTAAGCAAAGGTGCCCTTACTCCAATATGTACAGCTGTGGGGGCTTTTCTTTTGTAGGATAGAGCTGGGCTGCACTGACATTTTGCCTGCTCCTGGGCTGCTGGACTTACGGCCTGGCCACAGCTACCTGATCTGAATCTAAGGATACTGTCGCTGGAGTTCTTACGGCCCATCTCCAGAAAACAACTGAAATAAACACAAGATGCATTCTTCTCTTGAATATTACACTCTAAATAATTTTTTTTTAGACATCTCAGACCTTTTTCCCACGTATCCAAGGCTAAATGAATTCCCTCTTTCAGAACACTTCTACATATATAACAAACCTAGAAAGCCTCAGGGCCTATTTCCAACACGCTGGTACAGACCAGCCTCATTCCATGCCTCTGCTCCCTTTGACCCCAACTTCCCCTTAGCTTGGCCCTTGCAGAACTTATCCGGAGTTGTCTGAAAGCTTGAAACCTATTCCATTATCCAGTTGGGAAAGCAGGAAGTCACCGGCCTAAGTTAAGAGACTCAAGAATAGGTACCGCTCCACCAGTCCCGACCCTCCCCTTGGGTACACGCTTACCTGGGACTTGTCGGAAGGTAGGTTGGGATGCACACTTCTGTAGCCCTTGGCAGCGAGTGAAGAGGGCTGGGCATTTCCATTGGCATCAGCATTGGAAGAAGGCCTCCAGTCATCTGAGAAACAGGAAGGAAAAAACCTCTCACTCACAGGGAATAACTCCCTCGTTCCCCTCTAACTCAGGGGTCCTTGGTAGAAAGCCAGGATGGTAAGAATGCAAGAGAAACCATACCTGCTGACGAAGGCTCTGGCTCCAGCCCTACATATGGTACAGAAAGGATAAAAGCAAGAAAAGGGGAAAAACAGAAATGGTTACATTTGCAGGAAACAAGCATGAACTGCATAGAAGGATGAAAATCCAGCACCCCGTTGTCTGACACAAAATGCCCTCAGTCACGATGGCCTGATTACCATAGGAACCCACTCGAAACCATGATGTGCTCACAGGCACTGACCTTTGAAAACACAAGGCTCACATTCACAGGGATGAAGAAACAATTGTTACTTGGCATTCTTGTTTTACAGACAAAAAGGCAACAGAATTCTCTACTGGCTAGTCCCTACTCACTGACTCTCATTCCCCTCCCTTGAGCCTGCTGTGGGCTCAGAATGACTGCTCCCAACTAACAGGCCCAGGAGAGAGAGAAGTGGTTAAACACACTTTCCAGGGGTGGTGGTGCTGGGCTAAGGGGCAGAACATGACTTAAGCCAAGAGGTATCTGCTGTGATAAAGATATTTTTTTCTTCCTGTCTGCTTTTCTTCTTTCCATTAAATGAGCCACATAAACATTTCAAAATCTAATCACCCTTCCTGAGTATTCATCACATTATAAAGTATCCTTGTCTCCCTTCAGCCTTCCCAGCCACTGTTTGATGCATTTCAGAGATACTAAACCTCTCCTAGTTTGATCCACATTATGAGGCAACAGAGTGCAGTGGTTACCAGCCCAACAGGGGCGGCAGCTCGGCCTCAATTCAAATCCTGGGTCTAGCACCTAAGGGTTCTATGACCCTGGGCAAGTTATAAGCCTCAGTTTACCCATCTGAAAAATGGAGATAATGATATGCCTGTTTTATAAGTGTTGTTAATAAGAACATATATGCATGTGAAAGGTCTGCCTGGCAAAGCTCAGTAAATATTGGCTATTTATTATCATCTTCTGTATCATCTCTTGTCTCTACTCTCTATCCTTGATCTAACCTAGGGGTCCACAGACTTTTTCTATAGAGAGCCAGATAGTAAATATTTTAGGTTTTATAAGCCATATGGTCTCAGATGCAACTACTCAGCTCTGCTTTTGTAGGACAAAGGCAGCCACAGATGATATGTAAATGAATGAGCATGGATGTGTTCCAATAAACCTTTATTTATAGACACTAAAATCTGAATTTCATATAATTTTCACGTGGCATACAATACCATTCTTCTTTTGATTTTTCTAAAAACCATTAAAAAATGTAAAAGCCATTCTTAGCTTGAGGGCTGTACAAAAAAAGGCACAGGCCAGATTTCACTCACAGCCTCAGTTTGCCAATCCCTAATCTGGCCAAGCCTTAACCCCTTCTCCCTGGCTGCCTCCTCTTGCCTCACCATGTAGAGAAGTAGGGACTAATACCACAGTCTCATTGCCCAAGCCTCCAGTTCAGTGTGGCTTCTTCCAGAGCTAGACGTGGGCTTTCCAGATGCCAAGTTGAGATTTACAGACATTTACTCAACATCTCTCTAAGTGCCACTGTGAGTCACTGCTACACCATGTAGTTTGAGCTCAGTGTACACAACAACTCTGTGAAGTAGGTAATCACTCTCCTTCATGGATGTGGAAACAGAGAGGCCACCTGACTTGCCCAAAGTCACACAGCCAGGAAGTGACAAAGCAGTTGGCCCAAGTCTCCAGAATCCAAACATATCGCCCCCACCAGCCACCAGCCTCGCCAGCCTCACTATCAGCCATGAAATGGATGCTATGCTTCAGAGAGTTGGTGGGGGCCAAAAAGAAAAAGCAAGGCAGGGTAAAGGTTCTGAGTGATGTTCAATTTCACTTTCTCATCTATAAAATATAATCCTTACCTCATTCTCCTCACAGGGGGTATGAGTCTCTGATTCTCTCCAATTGAAGAACTGGAGAATCTTTAAGAATAAAAGATCAAGTACACGAAAGTACCTCTGAGTACACTGTACTCCCTGTTGCATCCAACCGGATCCCTGGCACAGAGCTCCCCTCACACCTGGCAGGCCCTTAAACACCAGGTGACATGTTCTGACAAATGGTCCACTGTCCTTTCTCACAGCTATGACTTCTACTGTTCCACCTTCTAAGTTGCTATTTCTAGTCTATCTTTGTCAAATAAGTCTATCAAATTTATTAGATTTATGCACATACGAAACGTCAACAGGTTCTGAGTGCAGGGCTATCTGATGAAAGACGTAAACTTTGTACATGGAATTGGGAACACATTATTTTGCCCACTTTCTGGTTCTCAGTTGGGTTGGTTCTATTCAAGTGACGCTAGCAAACAGCGACATAATGGAAAGCTGAGATGTGAATTGTTCTTCCAAACCTCCAGGTATCATGAAGGCACCATCACTGTGACATCAGATTGCCTAGTTTCAGCCCTGAGTCTCTATTTTGCTAATTGTACACACTGCAGCAAGTGACCTGGCCACACCTGTGAAATGGAGTTAATATCTACCTATTTGAATCATAAGGACTAAATGAAAGTATCTGGCATAAAGCATGTGCTTTGCAAAATCAGAATTCAAAGCATAAGGGGAAAAAACCCATGGCCAAAAATGAGCATTGTTGATCTCTGCCATGTGATAAATAGCTTTAAGAACACAAGATCCTTAGGGATAGATTCACTTTTTCTTCTCATTCCAAGTCTTTAAAGCTATTCTCCTTACCCTACCCCAAAAAGGCAGTTCCAAGGACCTCTTAAATGTTCCTCTCTTTTTTGTTAAAGGACAGCTGTATTTCTGACATCTTATCATCCTTCATCTATTACCTCATCTTCTGAACCTGGAAGGTTGGTAGCAGCCTGGGGCCATTTGTGCCTGCATGCAGCAGTATGAAATTTTGCACGCATAATCATCCATTAATTAACTCCTGATTGAAGAGACGGTCAAAATGCTTCTTTCAATAAATGTTACCTTAGAGCTCCCAGGGCTGGGATAGTGCCTCAGAAAGTTGAATCCTAGAGAGCTTTTGCAGTCCTGAGAGACCTACCCTTTCCTCAAGAAGCATAATTTACTTGGCCTTATCTTTTCCTCCAGCTGTTCTTTATTTGCAATCTTTTCTGGCCTGTGGCGGTAGCCTCCTGATATTTTATTTTATCTCATTCTATGCTCATTTCATTTTGACATATTCTAAAGTCTTTTGCTGATCCGTTCTTCTTGGGATCTTATAGGATAATTTTCATTGAGTCATCTTGATGTGTTCTCATGAGAGTATTCAAGAGGAAGATGACAGGTGTTATAGTAAGTCTAAGGGTGTTCCAAATCTTATTTGTGTTTATTTTGTATTCATGCTGTACAGTAGAGAATTTAACTTTATCCAAAAAGAGGTCTGGCCTTTGCCCTCAGGTTCTGGGATGTAATCCCTGGGCTCTTGGAAAGTCATGCCTGATAGAAAGGACTTTGTTTATCTGGGGCTTTGAGTCCACCAGTTATGTGACTTGGGATGGGGGCTTTGGGCCTGCAGGAGCTCAACCGATTAGGGAGTTGGCCTGGAGACTGAGATGCCTATGTAATGGAGCCATGGTAAAAACGCTGAACACAAAAGCTCGGGTACATTTCCTGGTTGACGATGCTCTGAGAACACTGTCACACATCAGTGCTGGGAAATAACATGTCCTGCCTCCATGTGCATCTTCTCTGTATCCTTTCCCTGTAATAACCCATAACCCTGAGTGTAGCAGCTTTCAATAAGTTATGTGAGTCCCTCTAGCATTTTACCAAACCTGAGAGTGCTTTTGGGAATCCCCTGAATTTGCACCTGGTGTCAGAAGGAAGGGTGAACTCTTGTGAGAACTTGTCCCTCCAACTTCTCAGCTGGCCCTAATTCAACACATGTACGCATCATCAAAAAGACTCTCATTTAGTGAAAGCACGGGGTACTTTAACTGCTTCAATGTTAACCTTCTTATGGTACCTTTTTGCTAACTGCCATTTCTGGAGAGCAAATGTGAGAGTCAAACCAGAGGAAATAATTTGACTGCGGGTCTAAGAATCTTTACGTCCAAAGCTAACTTTGCACTCAAGAATCAGGCAATAAGGACTGAAGCCAACTGGTACGGAATTAACAAAATATAAGGGCTTAACTGACCTTGGCATCTGAGTCAGAACACAGGAATTGATGTTTCAAGCCACAAGATCTTTAGACTATACCAGACAAGAAGCTTGGTATCACACCCATCACCAGCTCAGGCTCCCTGTCTGGAGTGAAAACATCCTGACCTAAGACATGATCAAGTCACTCTTGAACCAACATGGCCAATGCTCAGACCTCGTGTGGCAATGAGGTCAGCATGCAGGGATAAGGTGATGAGGCTTCTTTGAGGGGAAGGGAGTCGGTACTAAGATTACTGCCATTCCTTTCAGATTGTTCTGATCCAATAACCAAGGTCCACAATCAGAGATGAGGCGGCTGATCAGA